AGAGAGAGAGAGAGAGAGAGAGAGAGAGAGAGATGAGGTTGATGATGTGAGGGCACGTACCTGGTCTTGTCGAAGGTCTACAAGGGTCGACATCTTCATGTACTTCAGTTCTGCTGCTGACGTCAACTGGATGCATTGTCAATTCGTAGGCTGCTAGTAGGCTGTGTGATGGTAGTCTGGGCGCTGAGCGCCAAGTAGGAGAAAGGACTATGGATACATATGTTGGTGGTGGCGAGAGTATGCTCTCATTGACATTTGGATTCAGTGCTTTGGTTCTCCGTTCGTGGATTATCAGTGCATTTCTGTTTCTGGACATCATTGGACTTGCTGGCTTTCAATGTGATTTTGCATTCTGGATTTCTGTCATATCGCTCTCTCTCATTTTCCTTGCAACAGACTCTACTACAGAGAACATTTCTTCTGGAGCTTGTGTTAGGCACATCACCACCAGTTGGTATACTACGATATAATGACTGGAACTAGGCTGTTTTTCTGGGCGCCCGGGCACCTAACTTGTGCCCAGATACATGCCCGGGTGCCCGGCCGGGCATGACCCCCGGGCAGGGTTCGCAGCAGCCCCAGTGCAAAAAAAAAAAGAAAAAAGAAAAAAATCCAGAAAAAAACAGTTGTCTAGAACTGCAATGCAAACGACTTTTGGCTGAGGGTCACATCAGAATTCCTCACAGAATTGAAGATAAAAAGGAAAATAACAGAGTTGCACTAAGGCAACTCCCTTTGGACCCCTTTAGCCCCTTTAAAACCAATTTATACCCCCCTTCCTCCCTCCCTTGACAGCCAACTCTCGAAAAAAGAAAAGAGCCCGGATTTGGGCTCCTCTCATTAGTCGCGGAACACTCCCACCGCCATTTCCCCTTCCCCTCCCCCCCCGCCGTGCCTGTGTACCGTTATTATTGTTTTCTCTCCTTCCCCTTTTATTCTATCTTGGTTTGGGGACAACCAAATGGAGGAGTCAACACCTGTGGTGTCAGCGGTGTGGTTAAATGTTCTAGAATCGGGCGAATTTTCCCAAGGACGCTTGTATTGCTGTTTTTGTTCTCATCAATGGGAGATTAGTAGATTACAATTTTTTGTTCTGTTTTTGTCTCCTTCCCTTCTTTTCTGTCTGTCTTTGTTTGACAAGCAGCCGATGGAGGAGTCAGAAACAGTGGTTTGGTTAAATGTGTTGATGTCAAGAATCTGGCCAATGTTCCTGAGGGATTTGGTGCAAGATGCAGTGCTTCCAGTCATGCCATTCTTCCTGGAGCGATTCAAGCCCTGGACTCTAGTGAGTTTTTTTTTTTTTTTTTTTTTAATAACACACAAAAGGACTCTAGTAAGTAACAGACACCATGAGCCTGAAAAGAAATAAAAAATGACGAAACGTTGAAAGTTGAAATACACAAGAGAATGCCCAGTTGCGTATGTGTGCAGTGCCAAGCGCTATCCCTGGATATGGCCGTTTTTTTCTGCCAAAGTTGTGTGACAGTTTCGTCAACTTTACTGTTCCATGTGTTTCGACTCTCGAGTAAGTCGATCAGTCTTCCATTTCAAACTTTTTCCGGTATGAAATCTGGTCTTTTTTTTTACATGCTCCTGCTTATCTGTCATCTTATCATCCCACATTCTTTCTGTACCTTTCACGTCCTTCTTTCCCCCCCCCCCTGGCCCGTGCAGCGTAGTTCTGTGGACCCGCCTGCTGATCGTATACCAGCAGATGTCCACCGATGTCGACCTTAGTGAGCAATAGAACAAACTCATCAGCTGACATGAAATTTCTGTTCTGCCGAACGAAGGTCTTGTCTTCACATTTGTTTATTTGTTTCTTGAAGATCCGTCATCTCTGCGCCTCCGATTTGTCACCTTACAATTGGAATGTTTTTCTTTTTCTTTTGAAGTTTTGGCGACTTGTTCAGCCTAGTCCAATGTAAACTTTTGCCAGGCTACTTCAGAGTCGCTTTGTAAGCCCACTTTGGACTTCGGAGCAGTGCTAAATACCCGGTCCTACCGGGGGGTCCACCCCAAACCGGAACCGGGCCGGTGGGACCGGCCAGTCGACCGGCCCGGTTGGCCCCCGGTAGGCTATAGCGCATTCCCAAAAAAAGGCCGGTTCGAATTTTTAATGGGCCAGGAGGCCTCCCCACGGGTTGTGGGGGCCTCCTGGCCCATAAAAAATTTGAACCGGACTTCTTTTGGGAGGCCACGAACATTGCAAACGGCGGCCTCTCTGGACCGCTGTATCAAGGAAGATCGGCGGCCCAGATGAGGCCGCCGTTTTTGAATCTTGGAGGGAGGGCGGTCCTCCTCCGATTTCCCGCCCGTTGTCGGCCTCCCACCCGTCATCCACCCGTCGTCGGCCTCCCGCCCGTCACCTTCCTCCTGCCCGTGGCCGTCCTCCCACCCGTTGCCGTCCATGGTCGTGGCCGTGGCTCAGCGCCCGTCGCCCAGGTAAGTGGCACATCCTCTTCTTCTTCTTCTTCTTCTTTTCTTCTTCTTCTCCTTCTTTTCTTCTTCTTCTTCTTCTTCTTCTTCTTCTTCTTCTTCATCATCTTGCTAAAAATTAGTACTTCCTATGAGAGAGAGAGAGAGAGAGAGAGAGAGAGAGAGAGAGAGAGAGCATTTTTTTCTTCTTCTTCTTCTTTTCTTCTTCTTCTTCTTCTTCTTCTTCTTCTTCTTCCTCCTCTTACTAAAGCTCCCTCGTCTCGAGAATACGCGCGCAAGCAAGCAAGAGAGAGAGAGAGAGAGAGAGAGAGAGAGAGAGAGAGAGAGAGAGAGAGAGAGAGTCGTTTTTTTGAGAGAGAGAGAGAGAGAGGG